AGTTTACGTTTTGCAAACTCTGAATTTCTGAATAAAAAAGAAGCAAATGCCCTATTTCCAGGAAATAAACACAGTTTCATCCAGCACTAATCGATGGGGTTATGTTGTCAGGAAGAAATAAAAATTGGAATATTTAAAGACCATTATTATTGTCATTAGGGTCCGAGGACCCCTACTTGCTGCAGCAAGCAGGGGTCAATGAGACCCACAAATCTCGTGCTGACACCCCTGTCCTATCTCCAACAGGAAGTCCGCAATTTGCCTTTCAAAGTAAAAAAAAATGAGCGAAAACTTCTTTTGGGAAAAAATTATCTTGTCTGACATCGTATATTGTACCAACTTGAAAATCGCACAGGAGACAGAGAAGGCCTTGATGTACAAAAGGGAGGAAGGAAGGGATTTGGCGTTTCTCAACCGGTTTTCGAATGGCGAGCCGTTAAAGTTGATGAGCTGTCGCAGCCTCTGCTCATGCTTTGTATGGCTGTCTATGGGACATGTGCAGACATGCTGTGACATTTGGTCATCTACACAACAAACTGAAGGTCCTACAGTTTTAAAACTGACACTGAGGGCTTCCCAACAAGATTTCCCACAAAAATATGCTTTTTTTACACACATTTGGTGAAAATTGTGGCTGTATGGGAGAGAGAACGTGAGTAAAACTCTCACTCTCTCAGTCAGGGGCATGAAGAACGATGACATCATCACAGCTCAGTGCAGCAGGTCATGTGACTCACTGACAGGCTGAGCAGAGACACAAACATGGCTCCTTCACCTTAACCCTAGAACACTAATGCTGGGTGATTTTCACCCGCACGATTTTTGTCATGTGATTTTCATTGTGTTGCTGATGTCTTGAGTTGAATGGGTCCTTGTTTAGCTTCAGGCTGCTCATTGATGTCATTCATGGTATGTTTGTTTCCCACCTCCCATCTATGGTTTATTCAAGAGGCATGCGTTCGGGTGATTTTCACCCGGCGTTAGTGATAGAGGGCAACATATTTTATGGGTGGCATTTACCCAATGATAGTGTTTATGTGTTGAAATCAGGCGCTCTTTGCACTTTTCAAGGGAAACAACATTCAGGCCGGTCGGCCACATCCTCTGCCCCATTTCATCCACAGCTGTCATCCTGTCACAGGCCTAGTTTTTCTGCAATGCTAACAAGTGATTAACATGTAACTAATGTTCATTTACATCTGCAATCATTAGCTACGCAGATTTATTTATTTTTTCTACTAAAGCTAAGCTTTTAGCTATAGCTAGCTACAAGTGAAGTTGTAGCACTCAGAGAGAGGAAAAAAAAGAAATGTCCAGAAAATCA